GACATGCAACAAATCGCTCAACAACTAATACAATAATATTCTAATACATGCCATATTCCAATCGGGGATCACGATTGTCAAAAATCCATCCAACATTCTTTGTTTATTTGAATTTGTTTTGTAGTAAACAGTTCGCTATCGAATCGATCAGAATAAAAAAAAATATTGTCTCCCAATAATTTGTGTTTCCGTTCAAAATGGGAACAACACAAATTTAGCTTCTCAAAAACAATTTTGAATCGAAGAAAAAAGTTGGAAATTTTTTCAAGTATTTTGGTGCAGTAAGCAAAAGGGTAAAAGTGAAACTTTATCGAAAAGAAAAGGATGTGACGTGTATTACGAAATTGAATGATAACATATATGAATGTAACACGAAGTTCATTCGGTACTTTGCTAGTGTCATTCGACTTTTTTTTCGCTGCAAATGCAATTCATTTGTCAACAGTTGAAATCAAGATTTATATCATGATTTAAGTTTATCATAATTTTTAGCATGCAAAATCAATTTTTCTACAAGTTTGTTTGCGATTTATATAACATTTTTTTTGCTGACGGGGTGGAATTTAGATAACAATTCAATATGAAAATGATTTACTGGAAGAGTTAGCATTCAAATCATATGAATTTGATGATGAAGTCTCTGTGTCAAATAGAACGACAAATGCAGTGAAAGAGACAGTTGTGAACAACATTCAACCAATACAACAGAAATTACTTCGCATGGAACGTGATTATGCGAAACGAATGAAAATTCAAGAAATTTGCTACAAAAAGAAATTGAATCATTTGCAAAAGAATATCATGGATTTAAAACGTCAAATGGATGTGAGTGTTTTAATTTTGTCATTTACATAAATTTCGACTTTTTTCAATTAAAAAAACGACATTTACTTGATAGAAAATTCGTGCATTACATTTTCATAGGTTAAAGAAGGAAAAGCGTCAAATAAAGATGCAAGTAAAACTGATGGAGAAGAAACTTCCCGATCAACCTTGAAGGGTCTTGTCGCTCAAATTCATCAATTGCAACAGGAAGTTAGAGAAAAGGAAATACTTATTAAGCGCAATGAGATCAGCTTTAATTTTAAGGTTTGAATCCTTTTTTTATATTTTCTTTCACATTAAATTTATTATTCATCAAATTTTAGAATGATAGTTTAAATCAGAAGGTCATTCGATTGGAGAAGTTGGTCGAACAAGAAAAACGTTTGAATGCAAATTTGAAGGCAGAGATTGAGTGTTGTCGAAAAGAATCGAAACAAATAAAAGAATCATCATTACTGAAAGGCAAAGATCAAATAAAACAGGTAATTACTACATATGTCGTAAAAAAATTTAATTTAAGCGCAACACTAATTTCAATTAAATATAGCTAAGCGACTCAAAACGGCAAAATGAAGAATACATTGAGCGATTAGCGAAACAGAATGAAGAAATCCAACGGTTAAATTCAAAATTGAAAGATGCCACTATGATAAACACACAATTAAATGATGAACTCAATGAAAAGACTGAACAAATATGCCAGTTACACAGTGCAAATTCAAAGTATACAATTCATTCTGTTTGTTTTGTGGTGTTTTGTTTGTTGTTGAAAGGCAATTCATTCAATAATATTATTACAAAATTCGCAGAATGTCAATAGAAATGACGAACTTGGTGTCGGTGATAAAAAATGATCAAGAGAATGCAAGCCATTTGTCACTGCAATTAGCCACGGAGCGCAAGAATACAGATTCGACATCAAAATCACTCATAAAATGCGAGGAATTACTAAAGAGATTCACCGACAAGAGTGAACAATTGAGCCGAGAAAAAATCGTACTTTGTGATAATGTAAGCTAAAGATATATGTGCGACGAACATTTTACTTTGAACATTGAGCAACGAGATTTTTTTAATTTGTAGGTAGCTGAACTCAAAACATTGATGACTGAATCGCAAAAACGTGAAGATCTTTTATCTCAGGAAATCAAATCTTTAACCGATCTGTTAAGAGAAGCACAACACAATCTTAAAATCTCCAATGAAAAAATTCATCATCTATCGGTGAGATTTTTTAGCTAAAAAAAACATGAGACATAATAATTGAAATCTGATCATCGAATTTAAAACCAAAATCATTCAGATGTATCAACATAAGTTTGGTGATTTGAAGAAAGCACACGAGCAATTGTTGCAAGATATCGCCATAAAGTCGGCAAATGTAAAAACAACCGAATCAAATTTCAAAAAATTGCAAAATTCATATGATCTATTACTATCGGATTTTAAGTAAGTTAAATGAATGGGTAAGAATAATCATGACCTCCAAACATTCTTTAAAAAAATACTGATACAAGACGATGAATTAAAATAAATGAGATACTAACTCGCGTTTAAAATAAATCTGATACTTGAAAGATATTGAAAATAAAAGTGGTATGTATCACTTTTATTTTCAATTCGTTCAAGTATCAAATTTATTTTCAATTCTGGTTAGTATCTCATTTATTTTAACTCATTTGTGCATTATACCGAGTCTCCGAGAGTTTCATATAAGCCTTCCCATGTAGATGGTAAAAAATCGTGAAAAATGAAAAAAATTATTAAATTTTTTTTCTTCGATTTACAAATACTATTCAATTTTCTGTACCATTTGGTGAAATCAGAATGAAAAAAATCGCATTCCTTATCACCCAAATCACGATTGGCATTCGGTCACTATTCAATAGGTGTTACATAGGAAGTTTATATGAAACTCTCGGAGACTCGGTATAGAGCACTCAAAAAGTGAAAAAAATCCAGATCGTGATTTGGGTGATAAGGAATGCGATTTTTTTCATTCTGATTTCACCAGTTGATACAGAAAGTTGAGTAGTATTTGAGAATTGAAGAAAAAAAATTAATTATTTTTTTTCATTTTTCATGATTTTTTACCATTTACATGGGCGGCTTGTATGAAAAACACGGAAGACCGCTGAAATTACACTGTCGTACGTCCGTACGTATTTTGCATTTGCCATTTCAGCGGTAATTTGGAGTTGAAAAATTCTTTCGATTTGCTAGGGATTTTCGCCAAAAAAGTGACTTCCAAAAAAAAAACGATTTTTGTGTCATTTCGTACAAATTGTTGACATCGTCAGGGACCCCCCATGGATTTTTCCAGGAGCCCCCTACAGAATTTTGCCATCACCCCCCCTAAAAATTTTTACGTCATCATCTATGATCTATATCATTTAATTTTTGGACTATTTATACGGTTCATAAGTTTTCTCAGCTTTTTATTTCAAATTTTAATGTTTTGCTGAAAATTGATATAATAATTACTTCACTTTGGAACTTCATTTCAATTTGCATTCAAATGTTGTTTAAATAACATCAAAATTTCGTTTCGAACATTTCGAAATAAACAAAGAATGAATATTTCATTTAAATTAAATATCGGTCGTTTATTGGTACTGAACAGAAGAAATGGTGTCTGTGTAGTAGTTGACTTCACACGGCAACAATCAGTGATGGTTTTTTCCTATCTGAATAGCGCTAGCTATTCGCAGCGTCTGAACAGCATTGCTGCCCAGATGCTGAATCGAAGCGGTTGCCGCACGCGTTTTGTACCACACAACATATTGTCATATAGTCTAAGTAACCAGTGAGCTCACAGAGTATGATACACTAATACCATAGTCAGTATACAAACGCATGTCGAACAGAGAATGAACGCGAAAATATATGCTCTGTGTGGTACAAACGAAGTGTGTTGCGCGTGCGGCAACCGCTACGATTCAGCATCTGGGCAGCAATGCTGTACAGACGCTGCGAATAGCTAGCGCTATTCAGATAGGAAAAAACCATCACTGGCAACAATACACAGACATCCCTTCAGCTGGTCAGTGGAAGCATGTAAGACACGAACAACAACGTTGTTTGCATAAGTAGTGGTTGCATTTTCAATAGTCGCCGTTCGAGTGTACAGTGAATATAGAAATTTAGATAGACACACAAAAAAAGTTGCAAATGATCAAAGTTTCAATAGATGGCACTCGTAGTCGAATTGAACGTTTTGTCTATATCTAACATCACAACAAATCGTTCGAATATTCATTTGATTTATTATAATTTTTTTTCACGAAAAATAAATGAAAATATAATTATGTTTTAATTAAAAATGATAATAAATTTTTTTTGGCAACAAATATTCATAATTTCAATGATGTTTATGAAATTTATATTTCAATGCGCAAAGCACAGACTTGCGTGTGAAGCTCTTTTTGACATTTGAATGTTGTGTGTGGTTGTGTATGTTGATATTGACAGCGGTTTATTTACATTTTCATGCGGTAACTTTGATTGCGAATAAATGTAAACGAGAAAAATCGAATTGTTTAAAAAAAATTGTGGAAAATTAAAGTAATCGTTTAGCTCAAGGGGGAAAGTACTAATATTTCAATGCAATCTAATGCGATAAAAATTCAGCTAATGCAAAAGTAATGCCAAATAATGCAAAAATAATTCTTCGTAATGTTAAAAAAATCCAACAGAATTTAAGTTCTAATCGCAAATATTTGAGAAAAAAATCTTCAGTTAAAATGTTAAAACAATACTTGAAATAATTTGTTCGAATTTGTTTTATTAGTTGTCATCGATGTCATGTAGAAAAATGTACAGCTCAGTTCAAAGAGTTGTCAATTTTGGCGGTTGAAAGAGAGAAACAATAAATACACACAAACAATACATGCGCGCACTACTCAGCTTTGCCTCTGTGATGTAAAATGTAAACGTTCATGTGATGTTTGTGCGGCTGTGCGTGTATTGCTTCCCTCGCACAACACTTAGCTACTCGTTTCCACTGTATACTTTGCGTCATAACATCAACTACAACGAACAACATGTGCCCAAACAAATTATTTGAATTGTTTTAATATTTTGAATGTGGATCTTTCTATATATATAGCCGAGATTAAAATTTAATCTCGTTTGGATTTTTTATTTAAAATTATGAGAAATTATATTGACATTATTTGGCATTATTTAGCATTACTTTTGCATTAGCTGGAATTTTATCGTAGTAGAATGCATTTAAATTTTAGTACTTCTCCCCTTGGTTTAGCTGGACAATGGAATCGATTGGAGGTAAACAAATTTGTTTTAAATATTAGTTTTATTCAAATTTATCGTGTGAATATTTTTTAATTTTTAGATTCGATGAAATATTTCAAAACCAACGATGGATTTGTCTACAAAAAATCCAATGAAAATACGCAGACCGTTTATTTTGATTGTTTCAACGAACCGAATTGCATCGCTGGAGCTCGTTTTAACAAACAAACCGGCCTCGTCGAAAAATTTGGCACGCATTCGCATGAAAAATTGGAAGAAAGCGGCATTTTTAAGATCGAGTTCGAATCATTGTTGAAAAATCAAGCTCGTTCCAGTGAATTCGCCAACGTAAGTGTACTCAATTTGTACAAGAATGCTCTGGCTGGTTATTTTAAAGGAATTTGGCTACCGAACGACCATAAAGCCACCTTTTTAACCAAGTTGCGGCGTATTCGCAAGTACGAGAAGGAGAAGGTGAAGGCGGGCAAAGTATGCACTCGACCATCTCGTGCTCCTACTTTGACTTCGGTCGTTTCAACTTCTTTAATGTCACCGAACAGCGTTGCATCAGATCACGTCATATCATCCATTCTTCGTGAAACACCAAATCAAGTATCTCCGATTATTTTATCGCCATCAACACCAATTCTGATACCGCCGCCAACACCATTCGCAAGCGATCGGCCTTTGCTTCGTCGTTCCACTCGAAGCCAAAATTCATTGGTATTGCAGACCAATTCAAACTCCTCGACATCGAGTTCGGTAATGCTTTTTTAAATTAATTTATTTTTCATATTAAGAATTCTAATGAAGTTGTTTTATTTTACAGCCGTTGTCGGAGAATATCAACATTCGTTTGGTTGCCAAAGGGAGTCGCACACCTGTTTGTTTTGTTTCATGCAAACGTTCGGCCACGAAGACCTCGATTGATGCGGTACGTGATATACTTATCAAATAATTATATCATATCACATTCAATTAATTTTATATGAATTCAAATAATTGATTTTCTGTTGCTTTGTTGAATTTTTTTTTCCGTTTATTTTTATCTTACTTCAGACAATTAAGAAAGCAACTCAATCCAAAAAGAAGAGCACCGTCAAGACAAACGCCACAAAAAAGAAGACCGCTTCCAAGCAGGCCCATGGTATGATGACCCGTTCCAAAACAACAAAGGCTACGTCACGGAAGAATGTCTCGTTTGCCGATGGGCTTCAACAGTGCCGACGTATGCTGTTTGCTTCAAATGATGATTTGAATAAAAATGACGAAGCATAAGCAATCGGCTCATTAAAGGAAATTCCGATTAATCCGAATAATTCGTGAATTAATAAAAATGTGTTCAAAATTTTAAATAAACATGTTCAACTTTCAAAACCTTTTATTAATTTATGAACAATTTTCAATTCAATATTTATTTGAAATTCATCCAGATAATTTCTAATAAAATTTCTATGTTTTCATATCGATATGCCAGTGCCATATAACTTTTTATATCTAGAAATCATATTTTGTGCCCTATTCGGCCCATTGTTGTATATCGATTCCTGGTCGTTTCAACAATAAAATGAGATTTCACATTTGTGTACGAGTCAGTAAGTTGTAAATTCAAGTCTATAACTCACAGGGGTTCAATCATAACGAGTGAGAAATTTCAAATTATAAAGACGGCATCTAGCGCCGTCTCATATTTCTGAAATGGTCCACTTTTAAATTCGGCCATAAAAAA